GCCATCCCGCAGGCAGGTGGTTTCTTCTTCAGGTGAACTGCCCCACTTCACCCCATCTTGGCCAGCCTTTAGATTTTTACAGAATATTTGCAAGGAAGGAATGGAGAGTTAGTTAGAGGTGAAGATGAGGGGCCACTCGACTAACCGACCCCTTCCAGATCTAATTTTTCAAGTTGATATTTTGGGAAGTTCAGTTGAAATTCCAGGTTAAGACAATATCAGGGACAATGAATGGAAACCCAAACTATACAATCTCTTTCTAGCTGAAAACAGCCACAGACGAAGGTGTTTGCTTACCTGGACATTAAACCTAGCAAACTACTGGAAAAACAACTTTTTCGTTGTTCTCGTGCAAAAGTTTTAAAACATCTTGTCTGTTTTGTTTGGCTCTGGTTCAAAGCAGATTATCAGGAAATTGGAGGTGGGGAAACTCTGATTAGGGTCGTAGTCCAGAATAATAGATTCATGCTTGGGTTGGTTTCCTCTGGGTGTGTTTCCAATGGGGGTTGTTCTCTGTTATCTGGGGGTTCTGATTTGGCTCAGATCTCTGATCTGGGCAGAGGCAAGAGCCCTGAAGCTGACAGCAAGGCAGGTGGGATACAAAAAAATCTAAGTAAATGCAAGTTGGAGATTATCTGAGATTTCTTCACCTTCCTGCATGAGTCGATGGATGAAGAATCACTTTCTGCTGAAGATTCTGCTTCATGAGAAATCTTCTGGCCATCCAAACCACCTGGTAGAATTAATTATCAGGCCAGTCCAGAATCCTCCCTGAGGCCTGGGTAGGTGGAAGCTGCCCTTGCCATGAATCTCTGGCTCTATGGAACCAGCAGCTGGAAAGGGAAGGGGAGATGAGATGGCAGATTCTGGGGACACGTCTTCTCAGGGTTTGGCTGCAAGCCTGTCTGGCCACTGTTTTGGTGAGGCTGCTGGAAATGGATTGAAATGAGGAACTGATAAAAAGTCGATGAGGTCTGAAGCTTAGCGTGTTCTCTGAGGTTTGCAAGAACCAGAAAATGCCTGTCCTGTAGATCCAAATGATGTTACAGGGAGAAGGGCAAGGGCAATAGGCCAGTCGACAGGGGCTTGGGTGTGCTCTGGATCTCAGAAATGCTAGCGGGAGGTTGGCTTGCATATTTTTGGTTCTGAAATCTTTGGGGATGAGAAAACTCAGTCCCCTCAGATCCCCAAAGGCGTCTGGGGAATGAGCTAAACCAGTCCACATCCCGTCCTGATTTTGAGGGTCATCTGTAGCCCCGCGTCCTCTGCTCTCAATCCTGCATCCATGCCCTGGATTCTTAGGAACAATAAATAAGAGAAACACAGACATAATGAAGAAAGTAACAGTATCAACAGACTCTAGGGCTCGTGTCAGGAAATGCCTGTAGCAAGAAGTCAGACCTTAAAGTCTTTCTCTAGCTGCAGGAAATCAGAATCAAAAGGAAGAAAAGAAAAAGCAGCCCAAAGGACAATGGGAGTAAATGAAAATGACCAGAAAATATCAGCTACGATAATGACCAACAATAAACTTCCTAAGATGTTATTCTGTATTACAAAAGAAGAAATTAGACTCAATGGCCCTATTATAAATTTGCTAAAAATACATATACATATATATATATATTTTTTATCTGAACAGAAAAATAGACTACTCTGAGATGCATGGACATTCTATGATGTAGTCACGCATCAGATACTTCTAGAGCCAGAAAAATGGCAACAGAAAATGCAGAGGTAACTCTTATTTCTGGGTGTAGCCAGGGCTGGTTTGGGTCTCCCTGGCTGAGTGAAAGCATTTGGATGCTGTCATATAAGAAGTGAGAGGCGAGGAAACTTCAGCTCAGGGCTGGAGGGTCTTCATTGTCCTGCTAGGGGACTCAGGGGAGCCCCCTTCTTCCTTCTGCCAACTCTGCAGCCACAGAAAAAGTCCTTTCCCAAAGAAACTTAGAGGCATTTCCTCATGCTCTCATTTGATTCAAAGTTGCTTGGTTGGAGGCTGAAGCCTGGGATTAGTTGGCAGAGAAATAAGAAAAGGAGGGAGATAGAGACCTGGCTTTAGTGACCCTTGTCTGTGGTGAATTTGAAATTTCCCCTCGTCCATGGACTATATACTCCAGCTATGACTTGGAGCAAGACAGAAATACACAATAGTTACGAACATCAATAATACATTACAGTTTTACAGAAGAGAATACTGTTTTGTTTTTTCTCCATAGAAATGTGGATCTTATTAGGAGAAAGGGCAGAAACGAGGCTACAGTTACTAAGACACAGAGGAGAGGTTGGGAATCAGTTTGAAAAAGTTCGTATCACCAGCAATTCTCGGGGGCAAGATGGGTGGGCTGGAAAAAAATGGCCTCCTCAGGATTTTGCTGTTTCCCCTTCTTCTTCTTTTTGTTTTTTTCTTGATCCCCAATGCTTTTAGAGAAAGGGGCTTCACGGGAACAAATGTTCACTCCTCTTTTTTCTTTCCCCATTAAGTGTGCTTAAGATAAAATTCCTAAAGAAGGCACTGAGAAATCCACTGCATCGAAGTCCTATTGTTTTTCTTTACCCAAAGATAAAAAGGTGAAGAAACTGACTCCTCCAGAGCTTGCCCACCTCTCTCTGCTGGTTGTAGACTCTCCCCCGGGTGTTTGGGACACATAGCTACCTGGTCCCGAGCCCTTTCTGATAATGGTGGAAGTTGGAACTCAAGTTCAGCTGGGTTCTCGACGAGTTCACTGAGTTCGCCAAAGGGACCAGGAGTCCATCCATCTCCAGGCCCTAGTTTGGTTTCCATGGGTTGCCTTGTTTTCCGTTTTCAACGGTTCAGGAACGGCTGGGACACAGACCACCAAGTTAAAGCAGTATCTGCCTCCAAACCATTACTTTCCTCTCCTCCATCAAGATCCATCGGACAAGGTTAGCTTCTCAGTGGAGACTCTTAGGCAGATTTCCCAGTGCATGTACACAGGTACAGGTAGGGAGACAGGTACGTTCTTTTTTGGCAGGTGGGGGCCTAGGTAAACTTACAGCACTCTATTTTGAATTGGGCGCACAGGGTAAAAGCTATATTCCCACAATACATACACGAGTGAAAGAAAAAAACCAAACCAAAACAAAACGCAGTACTTTCTAAGCATAGTATATGCTGAGTTTCAATTATTCTGTTTCTATAAGAACTCTATAGGACTCTGGCTATTAAGCCTGAAAAAGTAGGTTCTTAATGATACTTCTGAATTCGTCCTTCAAAAGTGACTCAATAAAATGCTACTTTAAGGTCAGACAAAACACACGAGGAAGGAAGGGCTAGATCCTGCATGACCACACAAGGCAGAAACGGCCTTTGGTTACAAGGAGAGTTGCACCAATTGGTTGTTAGTTAGAAAAAAAAAGAAAGAAATCATCTCCAATCTGTACACTTCTCATCTGCTTCAACCAACAAATGAAATGCCTTGATTTGAAGAAGGGGTGGCACGTTCCTTCTCACTGTTTATGGCTATATTTAAACATGTTCCCTTTCCTGATATGTAAAATAGACTATATTATTATTGTTATTAATTTTTACAGATAGCATCATCTCTAAAAATATCTGAATCAGAAATCACAACTATTTACTTTTATCAAAAAGCATTTGTTTGTTTTCCCTGAATTTTCACATTTGTGCTGATGGCAGATGTAAATGGCGATGAAAACAAAGTGATACATGAGATGGCCCAGGGTGGCCATTCCTTGATAGGCCCCCAGCCCACAACGTGTGCTCAGCAAAACCCCCTGAGAACATTGCTTCTTCCTCTCTCTCGTGTGTCACTAGATCAGGATGACCTCACACTTTCTTTGTCCCTTAAGTCCCTTTACATTTGCTGCCAGAGTACTCTGAAGATACCTCGGAAGAGTCAAGATACTTCAGCATGCATTTTCTTTGTTAACGCAGCATAGAACGGGACTGCCCCTCTTGGAGGGAACCACAGTCCTTGGAGACGCTGAGAAGCAGTGTGAACCAGGTGTGTATTCAGCAGAGAACACGCATTTTTAACGGTGGTGGAATGACCCCATGTCATCCTACCTGCGACAGGTGGCCCAACCTCATGCTGCTGTAAGGAAGGGCAGGCAGAGCGACTCTGTGATATTTGTGTACTGACAGGTAGATTGCGCCATTGTACTAACAGACAGACCAATAACACATTGAAGGACAGGTGAATGACACCATGTTTTGTTCCATCAGGAGGACATACGCCTGTCACAATTGAGGACTGACAGATCTACAATATTGTACTTGGGACATCATCCATCCAAATTGTATTAAGAGAACAACATCAGTCCATTGTACTAAAAACAGGCAGATCAATACACATGTCACCTTTACTGACAGATGGGTCAACGGCATGGCATCATGCTAGCCAGTGGCTCAACCCTATGTTACTGAACCGAGGAACAGCCAGCAACACCATGCTGTTGGACGAAATCAAGCAGACTAACACCAGTTCATCAAACTAGGACAGGAAGACCAACGCCAAGAAATACACCAGAACCACTCATGATGCACACAAATACTTATTGCTTTTGTCTGTACTGGCTGCATTGATGGCTGCAGAAAGAAGAGCTGAGCTTTTAATACAGACAGTGACACTAAAAACATACCAACAGCTGGTTGACAAGAAAGAACAGAGTAAAACACCCAACGCCCAACCATCTACTGTATACTTCTAAGAAGTGCATGTTTCCTGTACATGTGACTTGATGGGAGGCCCCACTCAAAGGCCAAGTATCTTTCCTTGCAAGGGGGCAAAAGGGAAGCTTCAGAGGGGCAGGGAAGGTGCCCACAGACTGACACAGCAATACCAGCACAATATCACCCACCGTGGCCAGACACAGGCACGTAGCAACAATTCAACTGCAGTTCCAAAGAGTGGCCCACAGGAAATCGTGCTTGTTTTAAAGTGCAAGATGTTGACACTGTCCCTGGTAGACCCTATTTTTGAAAAACATAAAGTGCTTTTTATTTTAACTTTTTTTATACCACAGGAAACAAAACAGAATTTCTATTATAGTAGATGCTTTCCCTGCCACAGCAGGAAGTATTCAAAAGTCTGAACTGGGCATTTCAATTGAAGATATTTTTTTCCTTTCGTTTTTGCAGGTAAAAAAAAAAAAAATCAGATTTTATTCTGTTCTTCGGTAACATAGTCTCTTTGAATAAGCTATTTCTTTTGCATATTTGACACTTGCATATCTTTTGAGTCTACACTAACAATGTACAGAACACTTTTTCCTTCTACGACCCTAAAGCAATCCTCAGAGTTCTGTTGGCTGAGTGCCTGCCTTCTGAGCCCTCCCCAGATTGCCAGGGGCAATGAGAATTGAGTACAAGTGGTGCAACTCACCCTGATGATATCTCAAAATAAAATCTCAGGTACTACGAAATACTGAAGTCAATGAAGACATTCGAGTAAGGGTTTGTGCTGGGATCCTGGCTTGCGGCACAGAGATTTCTCTATGACACAGGCATCCCCTGTAGCCTTCTAACAGTGGGATCCATCCGAGAGATGATGGACAGGAGTTTCTAGAGGTGGCCAGGCAATACCCGAAACCAAATTGGTCAACCCACTCTTTCAGTATAAGCCACTTGTCCCAGCATCCTTCTCCAGAGAAGCCAGGAGGGATGGAGGTGTTGCTCTCAGAGGCTGTGATGAAGAGCCATAAGAGAAGAATGGGGAATAGGTGGCCGTGGTTATGTCTAAAACGTGGTAGTGGTGGCTGTGAGTTCTGCTCATGACATCTCCCAAAGAGGGCAGTGGAGTTGTTACAAGGAGGCGCCATATCCTATGGCTTGGCCAACTTCATTCTGATGGACCTGTCATGACTCTCAAGGCCTTAGGGAGCTTTCTCTGGAGTCTCTCTTCTTTCCAGGGGCTTCGCAGAGCCTTTCTGTTTTCAGAGTTCATGCAGAAAAGCTCTGTGGCAGGTAAGCTGAGCCGCACTCCTCTTTGGACCTCGCCCCACGTCTCTCCTCCGCGTGGGGTAGTTCAGATGCTCTGATCTCGTGTGCTTCCATGGGCTCCTCCGCCCGGCAACACACGGACGTCGGGGGAGATGTGGTTCTCGAGTTTGCACTTTTCCTGACCACCAGGGGCTTTTCCAGTCAATGCTTCTGTAGAGTAAATACAGTTCTGTCTTAAGAACTTAGGGGAGGTGGGTAAGGGTGAACTTTCAAAGTGGTTCTTTTCTGATCTCGTCCCAACACTGAACTTGGGACTGGTGCTCCCATGGAGGCTCTTTGGAGGGCTGGAGTCCACACTGTAAAGCACCTGTCCCTCATCATCTGTGTCTGCATCAATGTACTGGTGGATACCCGCTTCGAAGTTGAATGCTATTGCTGTGTGTTTCTCAGGTGACCGGGGGGGTGTCCTAGCACTGGCTGTGGTGTAGATGGAGGACTCTGGACTCAGCACAGGCCTGTCCAAGAGTGTGGCACACTCCAGTCCAGCAACAGCAGCTGCAGCACCCCCCCGGCTCCTGAGAGGGTCGTGGTACATCCCCAGAACAGGGACCAATGGATTGGGATCGCCCTCCATGAAGTTGACTTTAAGTGCTCGGAGCTTCAAGGGGTTGTTGGTCTTCATGGAACTCTTGGGGCTCTCGATGAAGAAAGGAGAGTGATGGCTGGCATCAGGGGCAGGGTTGGCCTCCACAAACCTACCACCACTGGCACCTAGAGCTCCCCGCCAGCCCATCTCTGGGGCTATGCTGCCCCCAGTCTTGCTGGGGAGTGATGCCAAAGGACTATGGGAGAATCTGGTGGCTTCAGGGAAGTCTGTGGCACAGCTAATGAAGCTATCAATGCTCGACATGCTTCGCATATCGATGACCCCTTCTGTACGAGTGGGCAGAGGGGCTACAGGGCTGGGGATGCTCTCCATTTCAAGTTCTTCCTTTGGTTTGCTCTGTGTTGCTGACTCCTTGGTATTGAGGATGGGCTGAGATTGGGTCTTGGCCATCTTATTGTACATGTCTTCCAACTGCTGGACGTTCAGGTGCTGAGGACTAGAAGATGATCTGGCCTTCTCAGGGGATCCCTGCTCCTTATTTTCAAATGACTTACTTGAGCTGGTTTCAGACAGTGTCCTCTTTGTCCATTTCCATTTGTTGGGAGACAAGTGGTTATCTTGTACTTTGTCCTTCTTACCTATATTCTCTCCATTTTTCTCAACTACAATGTCCATCATTTCAATGCTCCGGGCAAAAGCATCCTTCATGTTCATAGACACAATGCTGCCATTCCTCTTAGCTCTCTCCAGAGCCTCTCTCCGCTTGATTGCTTTCTCTTGCCTCTTCTGCTCCTTGTAGAACTCGGAGAAGTTATTGACAATGATGGGGATGGGAAGAGCAATCACCAGGACCCCTGCAATGCAGCAGAGTCCCCCCACAATTTTCCCCAGGAGAGTTTTGGGGTAGATATCTCCATACCCAACAGTCGTCATGGTAATAGTAGCCCACCAGAAAGAGGCTGGGATGCTTTTGAACTTGGTGTCCTCCTCGTCCTTCTCCGCAAAGAAGACAAGGCTGGAGAAGATCATGATACCCATGGCAAGAAAGAGGATAAGCAAGCCCAGCTCGTTGTAGCTCCGCCGCAAGGTGAAGCCCAAGGACTGGAGGCCAGTGGAGTGTCTGGCGAGCTTAAGGATGCGGAGAATGCGCATGATGCGGAAGATCTGGACCACGCGCCGCACGTTCTGGAACTGCAGCACGCTCTTGTTGGATTCGGTGAGGAAGATGGTGACGTAGTACGGCAGGATGGCCAGCAAGTCGATGGCATTGAGTGGGCCCTTGAAAAACTTCCACTTCTTGGGCGAGGAGAGGAACCGCAGCAGGTACTCCATGGTGAACCACGCAATGCACACGGCCTCCACGTGAGCCAGTTGGGGGTTGTCTGTGGTCTGACCAAACTCATCGAGGCTCTGCAGCTCGGGCAGCGTGTTGAGCGACAGGGCAATGGTGGAAAGGACGATGAACATGATGGAAATTATGGCAAGGATCTGTGAGAAGAGAGTCGAAGAAGAGAGTGGGATTTAGTTATCAGCCACCAACGGGATGATCACTCTAGTACCCTGGGCCAGCAGGATGCTCCTCAATGTTCAGGAGCATTTCACATCTCAATAGTCACTTAACGATTGGATGGTTGAG